AAGGACCTTTCATCGGGCCTGAAGGAGTTGCTGCCGGCCTTTTCCTTTTTCTAATGCATTTTCTAATTTAGTTTCTAAGGTAAACTTATAAATTCAATATGAAATTGTGTAGTTAACCAAAAATTGTGAAACCAATTTTGTTCAGTTTCTAAAATCATGATCTATCTGCTAGTATATTTTGTTCATATAGTTTTATATTATTTCTAGGAGTTATATAATTAATTTGAGATACTTAATATTGTTAAAATATAAACTTGTAGCAATTGTTGTGATAAATTGGTGATAGTGTTTGCTCTAAAACTTTCACAGTAAATTCCTAACATTATTAAGTATTCACTATAATTTTTGTAGCTCCATAATAATTAGTTTGCTAAGGTAGCTAAATGAGCCATAGTTCGAAAATATATGTTTAATCAATAAAATGCCGAAGCACCTTGGGATTTTAGAACTAAAACATTTTTCTGGAGGCGAAGCCTTACTTGACGACGTGGATACATAGACTAGTACGTTAGTCATTAAAACTAGCTCGTTAGCTTGCGGAGCGTAATCGTATTTCAGAGTTGTAGTTGCCGTTGATTATTTACATCTCTGCGTTGCATCCACGTATATCATAATAGAAACAACGATGGATCGTGGAGATGATCGGATTAGCGGAAAGGATAGTGCCTTGATGATCGTGTCACCATGATAGAATGCTAACTTTTAGTTATATCTTACCCAGGCAAGCCCCGGCGCATAACCTCTAATATTCTGCACTTTATCTTATGCTTATGCATTAAGTTTTAAGGAGTTGAATGACAACCACTTGCATATATGTATCCTTATCCTATGAGTCCTACTAGTAAGTCAGGATTATGTAGGTTGCTATGCTATATGACCCGGTAGAAGTCGAGTGATTATATGTTACTCGTGAGAGATAGGAAAGATATCATTATTGTTATTATATTACTATCACATGGAATATATATGAATGATAATTGGAGACCGGGCGGAATGGTACTTTGGATCTAGATTTGATTTGGCATTCGAGCGAGGCTCGGATTGCACTTGTTCCGCATGTGTCGATTGAGGACCGTCCGTTGCTGTGGATGATAGTCAGGTCACAGACTTATTATCCTGAGCACATACTTGCTTATGGGAGCGGGAAGGCTCGTTACGCTCTTGTCGCGGGTTTTGACTCTTTCCGGACCGACTGATTGGAGGCGAGAAAAGGTGGAAGTCTAAGCACCATACTGAGACCGGGTCTCAAGTGTGGGGCTTGGAGTCCAAGTTTGGACGGGGACCTAAACCCATTGACAGGAGTGGAATGGGTTGGTCTTGTTTGTGCCTGGGGTACAAGCGAGACGTGTGTTTTGGAGTACCTAGCTAGGGTTCATTGATTTGTGAATCATCGTTTCTGTGAGATGGTACCGACTTGGCTATGGTCTAGCACCGTAGTAAGAAATGAAACTTGAAAGGTGATAAAATGTTTCTGATTGCTTATCACCTGCTTAAAAGTAGCATAGGTGCTTACATAGAATGGTTAGTTAATGAACTAATGATGACTACTAATAAAATTGAATATAAGGACGCATGTTTAGTAATGCTTCCTGCAGATGCAATAACCCACAAGCCAGATAGCCTTGTATATCCTTGGAGTCTTTTATTTTTCTCCTGTCGGGTAAGTCTTCGCTGAGTACAATCGAGTACTCAGGTTTTATTCCCCCTGTTGTAGGTGATCGGAGGATACTTAGAGCGACTCTTGTATGTGGAAACCTCCTGGTGGGCTCAGAGAGGTTCCTTTCATGCTACGACCGTAGTATTTATTTATAATCCTCACTAAAGGTTTTTATAAGAAAAGATGTAAAATCTACTAGCATCTCTTGTATAAAAATGTCCACTATGTAGAAAAGATGTAAAACCACGCTACGACCGTAGTGTTTATTAAATTAATCTTTGTATCCTCTGTAACTGTAATAACATTGTTATATTCCACTGTTATAATCAATTGAGGTGATATTCTATATTGTAATAAAGTGATGTAAGAAATGACTTAAGAATGTTGTAAGCTTATTTCTCTCATTTATGATCCTGATGGAAAAATATGGATTTTCGAGTTCTGCCTTAGGGTGTGCTCGATGGAACTGCGTAGTTTAGTGTCCTCTCTTGAGTACTTAGTGTCTAATGAAAGACAAGTACTCCTGGGAGACATTAGATTAGGCGGTTCTGCCACAATGTTGTACTGTGTAATTCTTAAAAAAATAATATATGGGCCTCAAATTAGGGCTCTCAAGTCCCATTTCAATATACATTGGCATATGAGATCTCTCGTCATTTGGCCATATCCATCACTGTTTCAATCTACTAAGCTATGAGGGCGCAAGAGAGAAGATGTGGAGCACCAGTACTACGTGGGGTGCAAGAGAGGAAGGGAGGAGCGCTAGTGCGCATTGCGTGTGGGGTCATGGTAGGTTGAGTGTCGCGTCAGGAGGAGAGAAGTTGGTGTTAACGAGTCAGGGACAGGACGGGGGCCAAGGAAAGGAGAAGCGAACGTTAGTGAGCTAGGGGCTAGATGGGTGCCGAGAAGAGGAGCCGCACGAGGTCGAGGTGCTCGCCGAGCCATCGGGAGCCACGCCAAGGACGGCGGCGTGAGGGAGCCAAGACGAAAAAAACATGAGAGTGAGTTGGTGTGGAGAAAAAAACTTTCCGAGAAGAAGTAGAAGCTCCCGACGCACCTTTGGAAAAGCAGGGTTAAGGGGGAGATTTAGGCCCACAAGAAGTTTTTTCTCAGCATTAAAAAAAGAGCAGGGGCTCTGTTTATGGTTCCTATGAAGTTGCTCTAAATACTTTGACTTTAGGTCCTATTTGAAAATGCTCCACTTTATCAAAACCAGCTTTTCTCCACCAACTCCGTCATAGACTTTCTGTATATCTTTATTAAAAATATTTCTAGTCATGTTTACCTCTAAACTTTTAATTTAATCCAATTTACCCCCTCTAACGTGTCGCCACGTCAGCAAAACTAGCCTTAAAACTGCCATTAATGTAAAAGAAAAATAGAAAATGGTTTTAAAAGTTGAGGGGTCAAAAACTTATTTTATAAATAAGAGATAAATCGGATGACTAAAAAAATTGAGTTTGAAAAAACCTCTTTTGTCTGGACTAGGTGCGAACAGACCGAGCTCCTGCCTTAACATGGGCCAAATTCCAGAAGGCTGGGCCGAAGTAGATCTGTTCTTAGATTTTGTAGGGAGCACGAAAAATCGGTCATGTTCTTAAGTTTCGTGATTTCGTAAGGAGCACGAAAATCGGTCGTGTTAATTAATTTTGTTGGGCCAACGAGCCACGGCCTACGTCAGCAACAAGCACTTATTTTTTTCTCCTCTAGGCACCCCACCCGAACCCTATGGGCGTGATTGGTGGCTCCGAGCTCGGTCATCCGGGATGAAGGACCCATCCAGGCTCTTCCTAGCCCAGCTGACACCGTTCACCCTCCTGTGTTTGGTTGCACTTGACTTCCTTCTTGTTTGGTTGCCAGCATGGAGCGTTAAGTGGTATGAAGTTGTGCCCCTAGCTCTGTTTGGTTTGCCGCACGGCAACAGGTCTGAGCACCAAGGTATGGTTTTGGTGAGGTTACCACACTTCTTAGGAAAACAAGCAAGACAGATGATTTGTTTGCCTCAGTTCATTGTGCCTTTTCATCGACAATGATCTTAGAGCATCTAATGACAAATTTGAACCATACAACAGTCTTGGCATATAATAGTTAACAACATTAGGGTCACATTACCTCACAAGGTCATTGTCATTACAAGTTTGCACGACACATTTTGAGCATCACATGCACTTGTAGCAACGAGCAAGAACGAACCACAAGAGCACCAGCAAAAAAAAAGATTGCACCACAGCCACAACAAATAACACCGGTGTGTTCCTGACCACCTTTGGTGGAGGTTTGACAAAAACTTTATCATCTTCACAACATATGAACTCCAAGTATGATGCTTCTGCCTCTTCTTTGGTAGAAAAGCTCCTGTAAGCTTTATTTTTAAAATCAGTTACCTAGGCATTGCATCTAGCCCAGGTTGCATATACCTCAAGAACCTTGTCACGGTACACAACATTCCAAACCATGTGCCCCTTAAAAAACACATAAAAACAAGTATAAGATGTTGATAAGATGAAGGTTAGTTCAATCGATTTGTCTCAGATTTAATTGCATTCTCATTTGACCTTAAACTTGGAATAGCATGTACAAAATCTACACCAAAACATGAGGTATACACCAAATACGAAGCATCATATATAGATCTGAGCTAGGAACAGGTAAATCAGATATAGCATCGCACAGATATGAGGATGTCAAACCAAGAACCCTAATTTCTTGGCATTGCAAGCAAAATCTACAGATAAATCAACAAAATTGACACTGAAAGAAGGAGAAAGGGAAGAGCGCAGGCTGGCATATACCGTCGAAGCGCCGGAGGACCGAGAGAAATCCGTCGGCGATGGTCGCCTCGGTAGGGCTACCGAGGTCGAGGGGAGCTAGAGGGGAGTTCGTACCAGAGCTATGGCAGAAGGAGAGGCGAAGAGTGAGGGCGGTAACCCTAGCCGCGACCCGCACGCGCTTTATCGTTAGGACAACCTCATCTCCCACACTCTCCGAAAAAGGTTGCCGCCAAGCACCGAGAGGAAAGTGGGGATCGAGAAGACGGCGCCTTTCGGGACAGAGGAGGACATCTGCACGAGAGAAAACACGAGAAAAATATGAGTAGAACAACCAAATACGAACGAAATACACCGACAAATACGGGATGGGCAATACGACGGCCCTGTTCATGCAACCAATCGCGCCCTGTAGACAGACTATAGGCGACCGGCGAGCACCATATCCCGCGACGCCGCAGCCTCCGCTTAAATCCACTTTATGCTAGTGTGCCTCCGGCGAGGCCTCCCGCGTCCTTCCCCCACTGTCTCTCCACCCGGCCCGCCTCTTCCTTCACCACTCCGCCGCCGACGCGATGGGTGAGGGTTCTGCTCCTGGTAAGGACGCGAAGGGAAAGGGGAAGGCCAAGGCCCCCGCCCCGGCTTCGGCGCTGGTCGCTCGCGACGACTCCTACCTGGAGGCCGTCACACAGAAGAGGATTCGCTTGTTCGAGGAGATCCAGGCAAGGCAGGCCGTCGAGCGGCTGAATATCGGCGGCGAAGTTATCAAGTGAGTGCTCTAACGGTCTGCTTGCGAGGTTATTGTCGAATTAGAGTCATGCAGGTGAATCATAATATCTGCACTGCACTTAAGTTTAGCTTATGAAATTCATAATATGGTACCATGAAATTGAACTGCCGACTGTTTGTAGTTTTTCTGTACCAACTGTTGTTGCTTGCGAGGTTATTGTCGAATTAGAGTCATGCAGGTGAATCATAATATCTGCACTGAAGTTTAGCTTATGAAATTCATAATATGGCACCATGAAATTGAACTGTTGACTGCTTGTAGTTTTTGTCGTACCAAATGGTGTTTGCTTGCTCATAATGCTGATGGATTCTCACTCTGAACCATTGCTTGGGGCCATGTCCTTCAGGATAACTCTGCCTGATGGCGCAATCAAAGAGGGGAAGAAATGGATTACAACCCCGATGGATATTGCTAAGGAGATATCTAGTGGATTCGCAGCTAGTTGTTTGATAGCTCAAGTGGACGAAAAACTCTGGGATATGGGGAGGCCACTGGAAGGTGACTGCAAATTGCAAATGTTCAAGTTTGATACCAATGAAGGCCGTGACACCTTTTGGTACTCAAGTGCTCATATTCTTGGAGAGGTGAGTTGGCATTTCGCTTGTTCATGTCTTTGAGCATGTTTTTTTATTTAAACATTTGTCATACCTTTTCATGCTATTTGGTTATTCAAGTGAGTTTCAGTATTTGTATGTGACAATTCATTTTCAACTCAATTAGCACTAATTATAGATGTAAATTTGCAGTTTCTTGAGAGAGCATATGGCTGCAAGCTGTGTATTGGGCCTTGAACCACAAGAGGGGAGGTATGAAAATGATCAGAGGATCAATCATCTTAAAGCTTAATGAAGTTAACGTAGCCATCTTATCTGTTGTTGAACTGCTTTCTAATGTTTCCACTTGATATGTTAAGGGTTTCTACTATGATGCTTACTACAATGATCTGACTTTAAACGAGGAGCACTTTGGTGTCATTGAAAACCAAGCTAAAAAGGCTGTTGCGGTATGCTTTGAATTTTAACTCATCATTTAAGCTTATTATGTGAACTTGTTTTGTGGGCACTATCTACCTGGATGGCTTCAATGCATTATATGTGGGTCACTACATGTGCTGATTCAGAATTTTGGAATCGCTAATGATGTATCCATGTCTTGCATTGTTTTTGTGACACATTGAAGCACTCTAGCTAGATACATTGTGTTCTTACATGGTTAAATCCTACTTGGTGCAGGAAAAGCAACCATTTGAACGCATCGAGGTCAGCAGGGCAGAAGCTCTTGAAATGTTTGCTGAAAATAAATTCAAGGCAACCTTCCTTGCTCCTGTCTTGTTTGTTTCATTCCTCTATATTGTTTTGCTGCATATGTTAAATATATATGACCTCTGTTCATTCTTACAAAAAAATGAATTATATGTTCAGGTTGAAATCATTAATGAGTTGCCCGAGGACAAGACCATTACAGTATACAGGTGTGGTCCTTTAGTTGACCTATGCCGTGGGCCACACATCCCAAATACATCCTTCGTCAAAGCTTTTGCTTGTCTGAAGGTAATGATTCTTTGATTATGCACTAATCTTCTGGTTCTATTTATAGTGTAACTGGCTATTTCATATGTATACACGCATGTAAATATTCAGGCTTCGTCATTATATTGGAGAGGAAAAGCAGACCGCGAAAGCCTGCAGAGAGTATATGGAATATCTTTCCCTGATTCTCGACGTCTCACGGTATAGAATATAATTTCTGCTTATGATGCTATCTCTGATGACGTGGACAATTGTAAACTGTTTACTAATCTAAAACCCTGCTGAACATGTCTGTTATATTTGCACTTTAGATACTAGTATAAATTATTTGTTCATGATTCATGTGTTGCACCTGACTAGGCAGAAAGTTTCATACATGATGATATGACATGCACTTTTCCCTGAATCAATACTGAACCATGTCTAAGATCTCTTTGTGGTTTTCGGAATCTGTTGGTTAACATGGGTTATGGGGTTAGGGATAATTTGCACAACACATTTGTGAAACTGTTAGTGAGCGTGCCTCTGAGGCACTGATAAGTTCAGGTAACCGTATAATTATGAATATCAAGATAGGACATGGCTTCTGATCTGTGTTATCATAATCTGAATGATATGCTTGCATTTTCTTTTGTTATTGTTCTCATCTTTTGCATCTATGTGTATTACATGATACTTTGCAGGAATATAAACATTTTCTAGAGGAAGCTAAGAAACGTGATCATAGGATACTAGGGAAAGCACAGGAACTCTTCTTTTTCCATGAACTTAGGTACCTTAGCACTCCTTTATGTTTCTTCTCTTGCTTTCATATCTCGATTGCGACATCTCTGGTTAATGGCGAATTGCTGATTGTATTTACAATTGTGCAGCCCTGGAAGCTGCTTCTTCCTTCCACATGGTGCTAGGATATATAACAAACTGATGGACTTTATGCGACAACAGTACAGAGATAGAGGATACCAAGAGGTTTACACTAGTTTGTTTATTTACTCAATTGGATTAGATTATAGACATCGCTGTTCAATTCCACTGTTTTTGTTGCTTATATGCCTATCTTATAGGTGTTGAGCCCAAATATTTACAATATGCAACTTTGGGAAACTTCCGGACATGCTGCAAACTACAAGGAGAACATGTTTGTTTTTGAGGTATGTGCATTCACATATTATACTGCAGAATCTATGTCAGTTTATTTTACATTACATGTGTCGTAGACTCATCAGTGAGTTACAACCTCTGCTGATTGCTTGTTGGATCAATTCTTGTGCAGATTGAGAAACAGGAATTTGGGCTGAAGCCAATGAATTGTCCTGGCCACTGTCTAATGTTTAGGGTCCGGTCATACAGAGGTGAGATTCTTCCTAATTATTGTATTCTAAATTGCTTTGTTTTAAGTGAAACTTTCTGCTTTCACGACAATAGCTTAAAGCGGTTGCAGAACTGATAAATTTCCATGCCTAGGGCCATTATCTAAGTGCCTAAACAACTCATGACAGGCCCACTTACTGATAGTCAACTACTTCACATTTGGTGTACAAAAGAACCAAATAGTTATTTAATCTATACTCACATTTAGTCAACTACTTCAACATTTGGAGTACTAGATAATGGTTCATAACCTTACAAGCTAAAAATGCAATACTACAGGTTAATTGGATGAGGGCTCTTTTGTTAACAGGAGGTTGTGGCTTGATTATCCCATATGTCAGCACCTTTTGTCACTGATACTAACTCCAATCCAAATGGAACCGCATGAGCAATTTAAGCTTGACTATTGCTGCTCCAATCATCCTTCTGTAGTGTCTTCATTTTTGAGGGGCTCCTAAATTTTCTACCGTTATTGTGCATTTGTTGGTTTTTTCAAACCTTTTGTGTAATGGTTGGCTTACCTTTTTGCTACAGAGTTGCCTCTTCGCATGGCTGATTTCGGAGTGCTTCATAGAAATGAGCTTAGTGGCGCACTTACAGGTTTGACACGTGTTAGAAGATTCCAGCAGGTAAGGCTTCTATTCTGTGAGTTGTTTGTTTTCAAGTCCAGTTATATTTAATGATAATTTTGTTGTCTCCATACTAACTAATCTTTTGATGTTTTATTATGTCTGGCAGGACGATGCTCATATCTTCTGCAGAGAGGACCAAGTAAGTTTTATTTGCGTAGACCATGCTTGTTTACTATCCTCTAGAATAGAATGAATCGTGTTGTACTTGCCTTAGTAATCATGACACTGTATATAATCTACATAAAGTGTATGCTGTTATGATATAATTACTTTTACATGCTTAACACCAGCACCATGTATACATTCTAATTTGCATTAGCAAGTTGTATAGTATATTTACTGTTTCTTCCTTTTCTCTGATAGTATACGTACTCCTACCTTTTTTAAAAGTTTGTTTTGTTGCAGATCAAGGATGAGGTTAAGGCTGTTTTGGAATTCATCAATTATGTTTACGAGATATTTGTCTTCAAATATTAGTTGGAGTTGTCTACGGTATTCTTCTGTTCTTTTTATCTTCTATATTGATGGCATTTCTGATAGGAACCATAATCTATGCTTAACAATTGGCATGAAATGATGACACTTTGGGGGCTGCTAGTTGCAGCTTTAGTATGCAGGATGAACTGCTTAACAATCACCTCTATGGACAGCCTTGTTTCCTTTTCCTTTTTGCTTTCTTATACTTATTATACTTGTGTGCTAACCACTGAGAACTCAAATCACAAGATCACCACTGAATCTGTGATATTTATGTAGTTTGGGCATGTTATCACATACTTATTTTTTCAAAATTGTTATAAAATCTGGGCAGTCACACTAATATTGGAGTTGGTAAGATCATGACAAGATCTCGCAATCTCTCTTCTAGAATTTGATGTTCCGCATATGTCTCCCTGACTCATTAATTCCAAACAGCCTTATATTGGATTGATATATCGTCTTATGGTGATCCTAATGACAAATTCTGTGAATAACTAATGAGAGTTTACATGTTACATTGTTATTTCTGCCATTGCTTTTGCATTCTTGGTACTTTCCATTTTCATATATTTGGGGAAAAATGCTGAGATTTAATGAATTCTCTGAGCTCCAAAAGATATAACCTTGTGACAGTTTGATGGTCCTTAGTTAATACTCTAACCTGATCATGATGCCATTTTCCAGAGACCAGAGAAGTATCTAGGTGAAATTGAAACTTGGAACAAAGCAGAGCAACAATTGACAGAAGCCTTGAATGAGTTTGGGAAGCCGTGGAAGGTACCTCCACAAACACTATGATAGCTCTTTTTCCTTTGATGTTCCCATTCCTTTATGATGCTAGATTGCTAGATTAGATTTGCATTTGTACACAATATTCGGTATTTTTGGTGTAGTTAAAAGGGCTTTCACCCAATTATTCTGTCATTGTTAAATGTACCTGCACCGGCTCTGACTAAAATCACAGGATTTTGAGTGCTTGTGACAATCGTTCCTGTTGCTCTATGAGGAAGTGCATATACATTTTGCAACATTGTTCTGCCATGACATTGCCTTGTATTCAGAGGACTTATATAGATGCCTTCTTGCAGATTAATTAAGGGGATGGTGCTTTCTACGGTCCAAAAATTGATATTGGTGTGTTTGATGCCCTTAAGAGGAAATTTCAATGTGCAACCTTACAGGTTCGCTTGAATGTTATTCTATCGTTACAACAACAACAACAACAAAGCCTTTAAGTCCCAAACAAGTTGGGGTAGGCTAGAGTTGAAACCCAGCAGAAGCAATCAAGGTTCAGTCACGTGAATAACTGTTTTCCAAGCACTCCTATCTAAAGCTAAGTCTTTGGGTATATTCCATCATTTCAAGTCTTCTTTTATTGCCTCTACCCAAGTCAACTTCAGTCTTCCTCTGCCTCTCTTCACGTTACTATCCTGGCTTAGGATTCCACTACGCACCAGTGCCTCTGGAGGTCTCCGTTGGACATGTCCAAACTATCTCAACCGGTGTTGGACAAGCTTTTTTTTTTCAATTGGTGCTACCGCTAATCTATCACGTATATCATCGTTCCGAACTCGATCCCTTCTTGTATGACCGCAAATCCAACGCAACACACGCATTTCCGTAACACTTATCTGTTGAACATGTCGTCTTTTCGTAGGCCAACATTCTGCACCATACAATATAACATGTTTAATCGCCGTCCTATAAAACTTGCCTTTTAGCTTCTGTGGTACCCTTTTGTCACATAGGACACCAGATGCTTGATGCCACTTCATCCACCCTGCTTTGATTCTATGGCTAACATCTTCATCAATATCCCTGTCTCTCTGTAGTATTGATCCTAAATATCGAAAGGTATCCTTCCTAGTCACTACTTGACATTCCAAACTAATATCTTCTTCCTCCCAAGTAGTAGTGCCGAAGTCACATCTCATATACTTAGTTTTAGTTCTACTGAGTCTAAAACCTTTGGACTCCAAAGTCTCACGCCGTAACTCTAGTTTCTGATTCACTCCTGTCCGGCTTTTATCAACTAGCAATACATCGTTCGCGAAAAGCATACACCAAGGAATGTCCCCTTATATGTCCTTTGTGACCTCATCCATCACTAAGGTAAACAGATAAGGGCTCAAAGCTGGCCCTTGATGTAGTCCTATCCTAATCGGGAAGTCATCCGTGTCTCCGTCACTTGTTCGAACACTAGTCACAATATTGTTGTACATGTCTTTAATGAGCCCGACGTACTTCGTTGGGACTTTATGTTTGTCCAAAGCGCACCACGTTACATTCCTTGGTATTTTATCATAAGCCTTTTACAAGTCAATAAAAACCATGTGTAGGTCCTTCTTCTCCCTATACCGCTCCATAATTTGTCTTATTAAGAAAATGGCTTCCATGGTTGACCTTCCAGGCATGAAACCAAATTGGTTCATAGAGACCCGCGTTATTGCTCTCAAGCGATGCTCGATAACTCTCTCCCATAGCTTCATAGTATGGCTCATCAACTTAATTCCCCGGTAATTAGTACAACTTTGAATATCCCCTTTATTCTTGTAGATCGGTACCAATATACTTCTCCTCCACTCGTCAGGCATCTTGTTCGATCGAAAAATATGGTTGAACAGCTTGGTTATTCTATCATTATATAATTAAAATATGTCTAACCTTATATTATATGTTACAGCTGGATTTTCAGCTGCCCATTCGGTTCAAGCTGACTTATTCTGCTGAGGATGAAGCAAAAATTGAAAGGCCTGTGATGATACACAGGGCAATCCTAGGTTCTGTTGAAAGGATGTTTGCCATTCTTTTGGAGCATTACAATGGTAAATGGCCCTTATGGCTAAGCCCTCGCCAGGCCATTGTTTGCTCGGTATCTTCTGGTTCAGTGGAATATGCGAAACAGGTAAATGGTCCTTATATCTAAAAACTGACTTGACTTAATAGTTCTCTGTGGTGGCTGGCATTAAAAAAACTTCTGTTGAGTTATATTCCACTTTGTGGTCCTCACCAGTTGTGTGGTGTTTTAGATGATTATTTGCAGTTAGCGGTGTGAAATTGCTTAGTTTTTGTCTCTAATTCAAACAACAAATGTTTATTGACTTTGAGTTGGTTGATGAGTTCACATACTATCCTTTAATGTAGCCCTGTTACCTTTTAGGCCAGTCTCAATGGGGTTTTATCAGAGTTTGATGGGCATTAAATAGGCTGATGTGGCACCGTATTGATGAAGAGAGAGATGATAAGAGTTTTATGGGAGTAGAGAGAGTTTCATGGGGATGAAACTCTTCTGAACTATTTCCAAAATATGGATGCATTGGTAACAGGGCCATGAAATCCCCATTGAGACTGGCCTTATAGCTTACCATACTATCCTCATGGATTCATGTTATATGTGTTCCCTTTTACTGCTTTAGGCAAAATTGGAGCTTGCTCTGATGATCCTTTTGTTTCTGATACCAGGTTCTTGCCACGCTACATGAAACTGGTTTCCATGTTGATATTGACGTGAGTGACAGGACAATACAAAAGATGGTACTTCCCAGTTACCATGCTCTTTTAGGCTTTTGCATTGTTTATTTTAATTTCTTATTCTTATGTTTGTTTGCTCGTCCTTTCTTATACAAAAATTCTCAATCACAAAAGACGGAATTGCATGTAACCAATCTGTGAGACTTATCATGTCATCTGTCTTGTTTTTGCTGTTTACTCCGTATTAGTCCATCCCAATAAATCTTGCAGGTACGGGAAGCCCAAGTAGCCCAATTCAACTACATTCTTGTCGTAGGTGCACAAGAGGCCGAGACTGGAAATGTAAGTCCTCTTTACGTCGTCCCATTTTTTTTCTTCTACATACCGTGTACTTGTGTACCAGTATCACCCTCAGATATGGATTCACGCAAAATAGATTTGATTCCTTGCTGTTTCACGTGGATCCTTTGTGTACTGCAGGTCTGCGTTAGGGTAAGAGACAATGCCGACCTGGCCACAATGAGCGTTGATAGCCTCATCACACGTTTCAGGGAGGAAATCGGAGCCTTCAGATGATTTTGATGCTGCATAATTTCCTAGTACTTTGCAATCGTTGACTGCTCCTTTGTGATTTTGACCGAGTTTTTAGGGAACAGTCCTGAGTTCCTCCAAGGCTCCAAGTGTATTCTTGTTGGTATGGTTGGAAGCTACTAAAAGTTGTCTTTTGTTGTTAATTACAGATGTGAAGTTAAATACTACGTATAGTAAAAACTACTTGTAGTGTCAAAACTACTTGTTGTATTTGACTTTGCATGGCCTTAAAATATCTTGACTACTAACTTCTTCTATAATACAATCTTAAAATGATGAGACTTTGCAAGTATTTTTAATACAATTCGTCATATACAACTTAAAACTGATTTTTTTTCTTTTGGAAATATTGATGTCTGTATAGTTTTAAAGGTTTGATGTTGTATAAAATTTTCCTGACCAGGAGTGTATGAGTTTTCTGACCGGAAGGAATATATTAGTTTTATGTTATGTAAAATTCTTTGTTTCTTTTATATAGAAGGTATTATGTACTCCCTGAGCCTAGAAAAGGTGTAGTTCTAGAATAGTGCTAGGTTAAACAATATGAAGTTTGATCAAATTTATATAAAAAAATACTAATCTTTACACTAAATAAGTGTCACTGGATTTGTCGTGAAATATATTTTAATAGTATATAACTGTGTAGAGTGATATTATTTTCTTACTATAAACTTTAAACTTAAGGTAATTTGACTTTGATTATATTCTTTTGTTAGAACAGAGTAGTATGATTCTATAATAACTATCAGCAACACTATTGGTAACTTGGAGTCTTGGATGTATTATGTATATTCCGTTTTCTAATTTCTTGAACAGCCATATCGCCATTCACTTTGATATACACGCGTCCTTCAAGGTGGATCAAAGATTCTAGGGCCTTGATTAGTTTATCTTAAAGTTTATTTCCTATCACATCGGATGTTTGATACATGCATGGAGTATTAAATATAGACTAAAAATAACTAATTACACAGATTCTGACTAATTTACGAGACGAATTTTTAAAGCCTAATTAGTCCATGATTTGACAACGTTATGCTACATTAGCATGTGCTAATGATGGATTAATTAGGCTTAATAAATTCGTCTCGTGAATTATTGATGATTTCTGTAATTTATTTTATTATTACTATCCGAACACTCTTATATGACACCCGATATGACATCCCTAAACTTTATACCCTAGATTTAAACACGGCCTAAAATAATGTCCTACTGCGATGCACGGGTACATGTACCTTTTACAAGCAGTTACGACTCGTAGATCCCAAGACAACAATTTCGCAAACGTGAACAAAAAGAAAAACTCTCGCTAAACTCGAGGTCGTCCAACATGGTATGCAGGAAGCTTAAGTCTTCATAAATACCATTCTCGGTCCTGTTCGCTTCGCTGAAAAAATAAGTCGAAACACTGTTCTAGCTGATTTATTGTGAGAGAAAATATTGTTCCAGCTGAAAAAATAAGCTGAAAAGTACTCTACGTAGCTAAGCGATTTTTTTTGAAACACGGTCTGTCCAATAATAATCTAAACTTTCATCCCACCCCACTGTAAGCATCTAAGAGTGTAAAAAAGCCCAAAAACATGATTTTAGGTAGTTGTAAAAATATATTGTGTGAAAAAAGTAGTTCCTTCAATAGCATCGTACAGTTCCTTGATAGGGCTCCTGAGTTAGAACACTCGACCGGAGCAAAAAAAAAAAAAAAAAAAAGCAGCTTCGCCTCTATACGGTCGAAATGGCTTCGGCTTCTCTTCCAAGGTTGCAAAAGCGCTTCTTCAAATCTCGTCGTTTGGTGCAGCTCTTCTTGCTCTGGTGCGGCTAGAGCTACCAGTCTTAGGGCCTATTTGAATCCACCAACCAGCTAAAGTTTAGTTAAATTTAGCTGTCTTAACCCACTAAACTTAGCTAAAGTTTAACTGAGTCTATTAACTAGAGGATCCAAACACCATAACTAAAGTTTAGCTGAAAGAACTTTTAGCTGACTAGCTAGACTTTAGTTGGGTCATCTAAACAGGGCCTTATTCTCGTCAGGTCTTTCTGTTACTAAAAGCCCTATAGTATAACAATTCTGCTATCTGTGTGTCACTGTTGTCGTACTCCAGAAATTTTGTCCAGCTCTGATGCTGCGCTGCGTACAGCCTGTTCGTTTGGTCGTAAACGATCGTAAATTTCCAGCCAGAACAATATTTTCTCTCACACCAAACCAACCAGCAGTAATAATCCACGATCGTTTCAGCCCCACCCGAACAGGCTGACATCCCCAACCGTTCTGTTCTTGTTGCATGCAAGCCTGTAGAAGTTCAACGCCATGTCCATTGGTGTTCCTCCATCAAACTAAGTTGATTGCGAGAAACTCGCTCTGCCCCCATCCCCAAGAGTGACGATGGTGTTGGCCTTGATGAGCTGCCTGTCAACAACATTACAGGGAGTGGCAATGTCAACCCATGGCCTATCTGGGTCAGTCCATTCTGGCCATAACCACCTTAGCCTTGAGCTCTGTGCAGATCCAGGCCTAACACTCTCAACCCTCCAAAATTCAGCCTATTTTTCTTGGCCCATGAGACCAAGCGATGTTCACCATTTGCATCGGCCGATCGCCGGAGCTTTTCCAAAGGAAACCTCTTCTGAACCTGTAGAGTTTCTTGATTATCCATTTTTTCAGTGCACTGAGTTTAGCAGTTTCAGTCGACCAGCTTCGTTGAGAAGCTTCGCCTTCCAGACGGGCAGCTTGTCAGCCAATTTGTCGATGAGTGGCAAATACGTCCGGTCGCGTCAGCCCTCAGACAGCTACACAGAAAGACTTAATTTGACATTAACCACTCCATAATATCTTTCATATCAAGGTCAGCACATTTGATTGGACTTTTGCTTGTTTATCAGTAACCAAACCTCCCAAAGATAGGCAACATATCCATTACAACTTTTACGAAGATGGCTGCATCAACATCGTACATACTGATCTGTAGTTTTGCAGCACCGTAAATGATTGGGAACAGGACACTCTCAGCTGTGTCAGTGTCCACCCAACTTCTGCAAAGGCTCCATGGAGAGTAAGTGCCTATTTGGCATAGGCTCACAACAGCTTCATGAGCTATTATGAGCTGTTTTTTTTTTGTTAAACACTTATTTCTAAAATAGTTTCATGGGTGAGACTGTTTTTCTCCTCCTCTAAAAAAGATATGAGTTGAGATGAAGCTGAAAAAAGTAGCTTATCCCAGCTTCAACTCCCATATTATAGTCATTCTATTTATTGTTCCATCATATGAAGCTGTTTTGCCAAACACTTGTTCCAAAACAACTTATCTTCAACATAAAAGTTGCTCAATAAAGTTAGAACCTGTTTGGCACAGCTCAACTTCATTAGTAAGTTGTTTTTATGGAAAATAGCTTCGTGAGCAATTTTTTTTAAGCTGAACTGTTTTAGAAAAACTGTTTGGCAAAACAGCTTCATGCATGGATCAGAGAGAGAAATGAGAGAGAGAGCTAGGATAAGCTACTTTTTTCAGCTTCATCACAACTCATGTCTTTATGAAAGAGGAAGAAAAACAACTTTATGGGCGAAGCTGTTTTAGAAATAAGTGTTTGGCAAATAAAACAGCTCACAACAGCGGCCAAACAAGCCTCTATTTTACAAAAAAAAAAAGCTTATATGGTGAAGCTAAGTTATGCCAAACGGCACATAAGGAGAGAGCGGGGCTCCATGCCTAATAACTCTACGATTTTTAAACCGCTTCCCTCTAGTGTCATTGAGGAACACCGATACTTCATACGGTCATACTTCAATCAACAGAAAATGCACCACACATCCCTTATACACAAGAATACCATCTAGCAACAGTGAGGGCTGGCTTACTAGATTTCAAGAAGACAGCTTATTAACCAAATATATAATTACATGTAAAAATAATGCCGTGGAACAGGGGCATATTTACAGGGGACAGGACACGCTCAGAACCAGCAGATGCAGTCTCATACGAATCACAATCTACCGCCCAATGCTCATCTGATGCAGTCACATAAACAAGGCCACCTTATCTCTCAGGCTGCTCTTCTTCTTTGTCACAGGTTCGCCCAGCTTTGGTAACTCACTACGCCAGTCTTTCTTCTCTGGCGCATGATTTATAGTCGTAGTCATTGATTCTACAGGCTCTGATATCTTCACAGGTTCCTCCTGCCTTGGTACTTCGCTATGCCAGCCTTTCTCCTCTGGCACCTGATTTATAGAAGTCATTGATTCTACAGGATCAGATTTCTTTGTGTCGCCAGCATGTTTACTCAATAGATGTCCGAATAACAGGTTTATCATATCCTGAGCAACATCTTCTGTCGTTTTGATACTTGATGGACACTTCACCTCTTGATGGCTAGTGTTCTCGTCTTCTGTATACTCGATTGCTCTTGTATTTCTTGTGACTGTTGTGCACTGCATCAATCCTTTCACTGATTGATCATTTACTACTGACTGTCCTGTATCTGCCTCAGTGGAAATTGTAGGGCACAGAAGATGCTCTTTCTGTCTGGTAGCCTTCACAGTTTCAGGTTCACATTGTTTCTGTTTATCAGCATTAACAAACTGCAAACAAAAATGCCTCAATATAAAATAACTTGTTAGAATAGTTCACTCATCTTATTAGAAAGGGAGACGGCAAGGTTTAACTTATGACAAGATTAGCAACTCAAGAATTAAGCCAAGAAGGCTATACTGAAACAGTTTTCATTGTGACACTCAATATTAACACACGAAATAAGCCTCATACTCAATATTACCAATGGTGTATCTTAAAAAACCACTACATAGCACTCCAAGATGTAAAGTGTGAATTAGTGTCAAACCACTTAAACAGTATGATTTACCTCTTCAGCTATGCTCACAAGATCCTCAACAGTAAGCTCTATGTCATCATCAGTTGATACTGGTGATGATGGTTCTAATTCGACATTATCCAGCTTCCGTTTCCTGCTATTCTTTGGAGCAGCTCTTCCAC